CGAAATCACACTTTTGCTGATATAGCAAGAAATCTCACCCACTTTGCAACCATTCCCCTGAGATATCAGGCCTGAAGTGGAATATTAAAATGTCAATAAGTGTCCTGAGATCACTGAAACTAAAAAGTTCTCCTCAGTGCTATTCACAAGGTTGGAGTCATCTTGTTGTTATGACCAAATCAGACATTTTATATTTTTTGACATTTTCTCCCTCCAGCTCCATTCTTAAATGATTCCGGAGATGCAAGAAGAGAAAGATCCTCCTACTCCTTCCTAAAGAGAAAATGGAGATGCATAATAGGACATTTGAATGACAGTGCAGTATTGATTACCCTAATTTTGTTGCAGCACATGGAGGCAAAATCTCCAAAATCTATCACCAGTGCCTGATGTTTTCCTCCTTCCTTTCTTCATCCTTCTTTAGTCATTTACACCTATGCAAAATGTGAACATTGGCCTGGTGTCTTTTTACATCCTCTGTCTACAAGTGTAAATGCACTATTCAAAGGGCAAAGCAATGGAGAATCAGACTCAGCGAATCTATTGCAATGTCAACCATGCAGAATGTAGGGCAGGATGGCATCTTAGATACTAACTGTTTCAGAGAGGCATGAGCTTCTCTTCTCTGTATATATACACACATATAACTGCATGAGGAGGGTGCCCTTTATATAGTTCACACACTAAAGAATAAGGACATTAGGTATACTGTTCTTTCAATGCTTACAATTACATGTCAATAACTCCTTGCATGACAACTAAACCACTAGAGAGAGGAAAGGCCACACCACCAATAGTTTATCTGGTTATCTACTCTCTCTGACAGTGACCTGAGCCAGTTGCTTCAGAGGAAGGTTAAATAAACCATGTAAAAGATGAATATAGAACAAGTTGCCACTAGCAAACATTTCCTCCTAACACCAGTCAGTGACTGGAAATGACCAGTGAGATAGTAATAAAATGCTATGAAGTTAAAGCTGTCTAAATTGGGACAACTGGTAAATCCTGCCCTAACAACTTCAGCATCATACTTGGCCAATGATCATCTTTAGCAAATCTACCTGACACTGATTAGAAGTATCTACTTCTGTCAAAATGAGTGGTTTTGACAGGGGGGAAGGATTGGGGGGGTTGTTTTGCTGGGGTTTGGGGTGGTGGGGTTGTTTTTTAGTTTTTTGCAGACAGCTATGAATAATTTATTCAGTGACTACAGAAGAGGAAAAGCCCTGGAGCTATCCCCTCAACTAAATCCCGTTTTCTTTAGTTTACAAAGTTCTATCTAATTTGCACCCACCAAAGGAAAACATACCAATCTAGGTACACTGCATATTCCCACTAGGAATTTTAACATAAACTGTTAATGAGTTGTGACTTCCTTATGTGCTCATGCAGAGAAGACTCTAAGAAGGTAATCAGAATTTAAACCAGATGGTACAAAGAAGGAAAAAAGTAGATTAACGTCATTTTATACACCAAAGAGAAATGGCAAAAATGCAGGAGGAAAGTGGCAAATCAATGACAAATTGTAGAGCTTACTTGGGGGAGAAAAATGCTGTTCACTTTGCCGTCACGAAGATTTATAATCTTGTTCTTGAAGTGTTTATAAACACTGCATGTGGGATTGGCTGTTTAATGTGACAATTGTATTGATTAACTTCCAGATCATATGGCTGGGTTTTAAAGATAAACCACAAAGATACACTTCAGAATAGCAATTCCATAACAAAGAGATATTGGAGTGGGGAGGGAATAAATGGCATGAACTTTATATAAATTCCATTTCATCTGACTTCTCAGCTCAAATCACTGGAGTAAAAAGATAGGCAGCTTTCAGAACAAACCCTCACCCTCACCTAAAGCCACTTTCAGTTAGAATGGGAGATAATGCAAATTAAGGCTCTTCACAACACTTAAACAGAACCTCACCACATTTAATTAAGGCCTAATTGAAAGGGGGAGTTAACGGCTATTTGCAATCAACCTTAAATCTGGTTCCAGTAATTAAAGGGATTTTCTAAATCTCATCCTCAGTGTTAGGACACTCAGTTTAGTAGTTAATTAAAGGCAGTTTCCTAAGCCTTCCATAAAGGAAATTTTAGAAAGAAATGAGGAGATTACAAAGTGCCACACAAAAACTGACAACACAAGACCAAAATGATTTGTTTGCCTCTTTAATTAAAAACAAAAGTCTTGATTTATTACAACTGTCTCATGCAAACATGTGCTTGGAAATGCTTTTTTCCTTACGTACAGTTAGAAGCATATTTCTACATTTTTTGTAACTACCTCAAAAACAAGACTGAATTTGCAAGTGATCCACATGCCACAGTTTGGTCGGTTTCAAGCTAAAGTACAAATGTGATCATTCTATTATGCACAGATGCAGGTGCTCATATATATATTCGTTGGGCATGGGAAGAAAGGCCATTCCTTTATTGACATTATGAATAAGCATTATCATAGCTGGAATGTTTAGAACATACTGTATAAACCGAGAGAATAGATTAACCCATAATGGCAATAGTAGTATTAGCACAACTTCATAACTGTCAAACTAGTCAATGAGAAAGTACTCATGTAATACAACCAGACAGCTGGAATAGTGCAGTACAATGCCTTGAGCCTGTAAAGATGTATATGTTTAATTTCAGTCATTTAGTAATTTCATCAGCTTCCAGGAGAGGAAGAACAAGGTAGCCCAGAATTTGAGAGATACTGGTTCCATTCTTGGCTCTACCAGGGGGTTCCCAGGGCAAGACAGCATTGGCTTTTCTACATAGGAAAGCTATACTGGTATAAAGAAAGACATGGGATCAAAATTACTACAGCTAGGCCATTATAACTCCTTATAACATTAAACTTCTTCATATAAACAAGCTCTTAGCTTCTCTGTGCCTCAGTCTGCCATCTGTAACAGGGATATTTGCACGTCACAGGGGTGTCATGAGGGTATATATATTATACTTTATGAAATGCTTGAAAACTTTGATTTGGGGGGTGGATTGCCTAACATTAAGCACAACATTAAGTACAAGAATCAATCTTTGTCAGATAAGGCATTTAATTTAATTTACCTAGTTGTATAAAGCTGTGCGCTTCTTGATTCAATACTGGTTTTAAAAAAAATCTCCAATGTCATTTTCAGAAATGTAGTACTTTGAGGATTTGTTATGCTTTAATTTATAAAACAATATTTGAACAATATTTACATACCTTTCTGATAAGAGTTGGGAACATTTCATAGAATCATAGAAAATTAGGGATGGGAGGGACCTCAGGAGGTCATCTAGTCCAACCCTTTGCAGGACAAACCCCAACTAGATCATCCCAGCTAAGGGTTTGTCTATTCAGGTCTTAAAAACCTCCAAGGATGGAGAGTCCACAACCTCTCTAAGTAACCTGCTCCATTGTTCCTGCATCATGCAGGTAGCAAATTTATGCCCAAGTAGTTACTGCACAGTACTGATATAAAACACATGTAGACACCTTACTGCCCAGTAACCCTGTTTGTGTACACTGACTTGGGACAAAACTTAGTCCACACACAGTGTTACAGTGCTGTAATGCTTGCACATGTAGACATTGGCGTAAAAGCCGCTTACTGTGCAGTAATTTACATTGCAGTAATTTACTGCACAGTAAATGCATGTGTAGGCATGACCTCCTAGTGAGAAAGTTCTTCCTGATATCTAAGCTAAACTTCCTTTGCTGCAATTTGAGAATATTGCTCCTTGTTCTGTCATTTGCCACCCACTGAGAACAGTCTGGCTCCTCTTTCAAACCACCCTTCAGATAGTTGAAGACTGCTATTAAATCCCATTTCAGTTTTCTCTTCTCTAGATTAAATAAGCCCAGTTCCCTCAGCCTCTCCTCAGAAGTCATGTGCCCCAGCCCCCAAACCATTTTTGTTGCCCTCCGCTGGACTCTACAATTTGTCCACATCCTTTCTGTAGTGGGGGGGCCCAAAACTGAACACAGTACTCTAGTTGTGGCTCACCAGTGCTGAATAGAGGGGAATAATCACTTCCCTTGACCTGCTGGCAACACTCCTACCAATGCAGCCCAGTATGCTGTTAGCCTTCTTGGCAACAAGGGCACACTGTTGGCTCCTATTCAACTTACTGCCCACTGTAACTCCTTTTCTGCAGAGCTGCTGCCCAGCCAGTCAGCCCCCAGCCTGTACCGGTGCCTGGGATTGTTCCATCCTAAGTGCAAGACTTTGCACGTGTCCTTGTTGAACATCATGAGATTTCTTTTGGTCCAATCCTCCTCTTTCTGAATCCTAGCCCTACTACTCCCTCCAGCTTGGTGTCATCTGAAAACTTGCCGAGGGGGCACTCTATGCCATCTTCCAGATCATTGGTGAAAATATTGAACAAAACTGGCTCCAGGACTAACCCCTGGGGCACTTCACTTGATACCAGCTGCCAACTAAACCTCAAGCCATTGACTATTAGCCTCTGAGCCACAGAGTTTTCTACCCACCTTAGAACCCCTCAGAGATGTGAGGTAGAAAATTTTCTGGAAAATTTTCCACTGCTTTATTTTTCATGAGAAATTTTCCATTTCTAAAACTTCATTGTTTCATAAAATTCGTTAGTAACAATGAGTGGATGCCAATTCAATATTAGGCAAGCTTGGCAGTTTCAAAGTTGTAATTAATGTTTTTCAGTTGATTATCCCTAGGAAGTGTGTGAGAAAGTACATATATGTTTTACTGATTTGTAAACAGGAGGGTAAATACACTCACATAATAATCCAAACCCAAAATCAAGTAATTGGCTGTGTACGTCAAATCAAAACCAAAACTAAAATTCTCATTTCATCTCAGACTGCAAGTGTAAGCGAAACCAAAACTAAAACTGTGGTTAATTTCTGTTTCGCTTTCAGTTCAACAAACATGCAG